ATCATTTTGTTTGTTTACAAACTGCTGGACAACGAATGTTTTCTCATCGGAGAAAACCAAATTCGGCAGTTCACCACTTTCGGCCAAGCGAAGCCACACTTTAGTTATTTTGAGTCTATTTTCTTTCTGTTGCGACGAGCTCATTTTTCAATATTTGCCGAATGGAATATTGCGATATGTTCAGCTCAGGAGCCACTGCTACGCGGGTTTCGATCAAGTAGCTTCTTTACTTTCCGAACAATTTCTGCTGATGTTGCTGTTTTCTTCCGTCCACTTCCTTGACGTCGGGCTACGCTACCAGTATCATGGTAACGAGCGATTGTACGAGACACAAAACATTTATTCACATTTAAATGCTGGAGTGCTCTAAGAAATTACATTGAGACGCTTGAATTCCATCACGAATAAGTTTTTTTCTGGAAAATTCTCCCTAAAATGCTTTTGTACGCTTGTAAACAATATAATGAGCTGTCACTGGAATAATTTTAACAGTGTCGCACGAGTGGCTCAGAAATGACAGAAGTCTGAAGTTGGTTGCAGCTTTTTCATCTCACCCTGTATATAGTCGAGCTTCTTCAATACCTTAAAACATGTTTTCCCGAGTTGCTAAGTTGCTAAGTTTTTCGTCTTCAGTTCCAATTACGTATTGGGCGCCATTTTTACCGATTTTCTGGAATCATTTGTTGTTACCTTGTGATGTATTGTATGACTTTCTTCTCTACATGTAGGATCCGTGAAGGTCTTAGGGATTGTTGCTCGTTCATTTATTCTGATTGTTTCCCATTTTCTCTAGGAAACTATTAACGTCTTGTTCTTGAATTCCAATCAAATTTTCGGCGCCATTTGAATTACCTTTATATGTTAAGTCCCCGCATTTTGAGCGCTTTCGAAACATTTTTCAATCGCATTGACTGTAGTTTTGTATTTCGGGTTCACAGTGATTGGAATTGCGCATAGGTAGCCTTGGAAATTGCGAATCGGGCACATTTACCCATTAGGTGTTTAGCTATACTGGATTCTGATTAACTGGGAATCTCCCTAACAAAAATGATCAATATTGAAGCATCTAAAGACACAAATCCAAATATTATGCAATTTTCGGTATATATAATTATAATATAATTATATATATATTATATATAATATAATTTTTCGTTTTCTAAACCTTGTCAATATTTGTCGAAGTTTGAAATATTTTGAAGTTGATGAACACGTTTTACAACCGAATTGCTTCCAAATTGATATTTTAGATACACTTTGTGCAGAAAATCTCTCACTATCGAAAATAATCGATATTCGTTCATTGTAAGATATGGCGCCCAAAGAACGCTACCCACAAATTTCGATTCTTTAATATTTTAGGAAATATTTTGTCATTAACAGAGACTACTATAAAAACTCTTTGGAAAAATGTAAAAAAATAATGAAAATTTTTATAATAAATTGCAATATAGGTAATTTTATAAAAGATCCAAGATCCAAAAGATCCATTTTAGGTATTTTAAATAGTCTTGTTGGCACCAACGAATACTGGAAATCATATCAGACTTTCCCTCACATATATCTCTGTTAGACCCAGTTTTTAATATACCGATCGTTATATTTCGAATACCTAAACCAATCTATCCACGTGTGTCTGTCCGCCGGACACGAACAATTTGAAATTAAAAAAAAAAACATTTTTTAACATTTCGATGTATTCTTTTTCAGTAATTCGGGGTTTACACATGCAACTTTTTTAAGAAACTCTGCTGCTGCTCTGTAAGATTCTCTTTTTAATTTCTTCCCCCTTGGCATTTTTCATACCTCTCTCTCCTAAGAAGTAAACTGCATTTAAACCCAATTTATAATTTGTTTATAATTAATATTATAAATAAAAAAATATTTATTGATTATAAATAACAATAATAATCATACACATATATAAACAAGAGATGCTTATTTCATTCAATTTCCAACAGAATGCCAAACAAAATAATAAATAAAAGAAAAACATAACGAAATGAATAAGAAAAGACAAAGAACAAAAAATGAGATGTCTAATTGTAATTGATTGTTGATATTTAAGATATTATTTATTAATATTTAAACTAATATTAAACAAAAAAATAAAACAAAGAAAATAAATCCAAAAAACGTGTTTATGAAAACAACCCCAACAAAAATCCAATTTTTTTTTTAATTATTCGAAAGAAGATTTTAGAAAGATTCGTTTCCAATCACTTGCTAATTATTTGTGATTGGAAAAAGGGGTGTGAAATTAGGCGACAATATTGAAAACAGCTATTGGTCGATTTATTTATAGATTTCAGAAAAAAGAGAGAGCGCGACCACAGGAATGACCCAACCAATCCGATACCAAGAATTGAAAATTGCGGAGACAAATGCAGACAAACTGTCTACAAAAAAATAGTCAAAATCAAATGGTGGAAAAAGGGAAAGTGTGAATGCGTGATCGTGAACGCATCATTGTCATGCGAGAGAGAGCGAGTGACACCCACAATTTCATATGTTCTCAGGACGACAGGCACTCAGGCAGACATAACGGCACATGGACCACTTGAGATCTCCAACGGCAAACCAGGGCAGTTGTAGTTGGGCGTTTTTAAATACCCACTGTTCTCGAGAAGAGGTAGTCCGTTGTGTGTGTTTAACAAGTCAAGTGTGAAATTTTCCCCCAAATGAAGTGATTTACGACGGCTGGACGACCGAACGAACCACTTAGACATAGACGACAGACTGTCTGCCTGATTTTTGTGCATTTGTTTTCTTAGAGAGTCGAATAAATACAAGAAGAGAATCCTTAAAATCGTGTATAAGAGGACATGTGGGTGCAGTGTTAAGGTCAGTTTTAAATAGTCACTACAAGGAAACACAGCTACGGATTCAAGACAAAATAATTCAATTTAAAAATTTATTTAAAAAAATACCCACAAACATGTTATATAACAAAACGGAATTATCTGCCACTACTTGCTCATATTCATCTGACGAAATGTCCAGTTCAAAATCTTCAACATCATCGTCGTCGGGTTCACCGCAATCGATTAAGGAACGCCGCCGCATGTTGCGTACTCCCAAGTGTGCCCGTTGCCGCAATCACGGTGTCATCAGCTGTGTCAAAGGTCACAAAAAGTTATGTCGTTGGCGTGAATGTACCTGTCAAAATTGCCAACTGGTAGTGGATCGTCAAAGGGTTATGGCTGCCCAGGTGGCATTAAGGCGTCAACAAACTTCATTGGTCGATGAAAGCCATACAAATGCCGATGAGACCAACTCCGATGATAGTAATTCGGGACAATCGTGTCATCAACCAGCTGCTGCTGCTTCGGCCGTCTACCAACGTACCCAGGAAGCTTTAATGGAACAGAAAAAGATTTACAAACAACGTTTAAGGAATGTCCAACAGTCAACATTGTATGCCAATGCTGCCATGGAAAGTAAGTATAGACTTCTTTACCAGTTTTTTGTAATTCTTTCCGTACAAAAAATTAAAATTTAAAAAAATAAATTGAATTCCAAAAAGTATTTAAATTTTAAAACCATTTTTCCACAATTACTAATTTATATTTCCTCTTCCACCTCTTCTCCTTACAGAATACAATCAACATTTTTCTGCCTGGAATTCACCACTCGTCGAGCGTATACGTAAGCGTCGTGCCTTCGCCGACCCAGAATTGAATCAAGTTAGTGATGTTACCCTCTTGAATGCCGCCGCCGTTGTCAGCCAAATTACTCAGCCGCAAACGATGCTCTATGAATACGAAACTTTACAAAATAACTATCTATTGCCATATCCTGCTGCTGCTACTATCTCTATGCCTACAATCAATGCCAATTTCATGCATCCTTATGTAACACCTGCCCAAGAAACAACAGCAACAGTCGAGGAAGTTCCCCAAACAGTGGTTAACAGCAAGAAACCGAAATTAAGTTTTTCCATAGATGCCATTATGGGGTATTAAGTGAAGCTGTGGCTGGGTTTTAAAATGTCATTGTTGTTTGTAAATTTTAAAATTGTTAAATGTGATATTTTGTTTATAAGTTATAGGTTAAGGAAAATAATATAATGATATAAAGGAATAAATAAAAATAAAACAAATGAACAATAATATTAAAAATCTGATTTTTTCCTCTCTCTCTCACTTTAAGTACATACATAAATACTTATACGTCGGATATTACTCTATTTCGATTTTTTGGTTTCCATATACATATCGGTTCCAGAACTATTTACCTTATGGGGTGCCATGGGGTGAGGTTGGATAAAGGAAACAGGGGAGTAGAGCTGAATGTCCGTTGGCATTCAGCTCTGCTCACCATAGGAGTTTGCGGTTAGTGGGAAGCCCAATATTATTCTATGTATAGCTGTGAATATCAAATAAAAAGTCGCAGACAATCAGCGGGTCCTGGGGAGAGTCTCGGAGAAAATAACCAAGAGTCTATGATCCCAAGACTGACCAAGGTCTTAGGTTACTACCTTCCAAAGTGACCTCCCTAACCCTGAGTTGTCATGCAACTTCGTGCCCATCAGTGTTCTACTGTTTGCAGTCAGGGTCCCGACTGTATTACAATGGAGCCTTGTTGATATCTAGGCGCATCAACAAGTATTTCAGGCTTAGCCACCTAGTCCTTACCATGGTACGATGCTATGTCATTGTCGACTTCAAATCTTCACGAAATCCCTATTCTATGGAGCAGAATTTTAATACCCACACTCTTCTTAAAATAAAAAAAACAATGTGAATGTATTCTTTTTTTGGGTCCCTCAGTCTTGAACTCTACCAGACCAGACCAGCAATGTTCTCAACTCGTATCGAGAGCGCATTGTCCCCGGAGCCCTAAACAGGTGCCCCTCCTGCCAGCAAAGCCCACACGACACCATCTATTAAATTGTCCGTCCGAGCCTACAAGTCTATTGCCTATAGAGGAAACCGACAACTTCCGTCCTAGTCAGGAGAGCATCCCGAATCAACTCTGGAAAGACTAGCCCTTGACAAACGAGGAAGACGAAGACGTGGCTAAAACAATAGCTACCCTGGCGATTTCTCCAAATCAAGGTGAGTCCTCTCAAACGCTGACTGCAGTCAGCCGATGAGCTCCCCATCGTAAAGGTGGATGATTTATCCAGGATGATTCATGGGAACCGGGATCCATTAAACGAACTAACGCCAAATAGATTTTTGATAAGAAGATTTACCGGAGGGCGGTTAATTACTGCTACTTTAGGAGGAACCTCAAATACATCCGGAAGATCTCTAGGAACTATCCGAATGATATTGCGAGAGACTTCTTAATTGATAGAATTCCTACACCACGTACAAAGTCTACCATGGTAGCCCCTTCAAAAGAGGTGAAAACTGTCGGTGGCCCGAGCACAACTAGGACGATGGTGGCTAGGACTTCTGAGCCTTCAGCATTTCCCAAGGGAAATTGAGCGCAAAGAAATCCCTGACATCATCATCTACTGCAACTGAGGGTAAGGGACTTTCGAAGTCATCCCATGGAGAGCCCGTAAAAAGGCCTCTTCCAGAAAAGCTGATAAGGCACAACCGCCCTCTGTAAATCCACCCATTGCCGAAATGTCGAAACCGTAATCCAAGGTTATGGCATTTGGGCAGTTATTGCTGTATTAAAAATATGTGGCGAACACGAAGCAGGTTCATGCGACTGCTGGGTTGCAACTCCGGGAGCCAAATCTCCAATACAGCCCACGGCTGTGAATAGAATAAGGTCTTCGAATGAGCAACAGCCGCCTGCTAAAAGAGATCCACGCAGTCGTTAGATGCACGAAGTTATATTTAGAACGCGTCGGTAGTGTCGATGGAGAATCCTGACAAGAGGGGTAAGGGTGTGGTGAAAGCCCAACCCACTATCTCGAAACACGAATCCCAAAAACCGGCGCCTAGAGACCCTGCTGCTCTACCAGAGGTACCGGATAATCGAATCGAGCTGACCCCGTCGGGACTATAAATTATGATAAATGATGGTCGACAACTATCTGAAATACCTCTTCGTGATCGACGGAATTTTCTAATATATTTTAATCCTAAGATGCTATCAACAAAAGTTGCTACATAATTTTCACTGGAAACGTTATTGTATATATTTGAGATTACCAAATTTATATTATTGTGAGACAAGTAAATCTTAAGAGCTCTCCATCTTTTCATCTCGTTCTTTCTCTTATTCCCCAAATTGAAATCGTTAAATCCGACAAATTCTGACACTATAAGTATTATGCTACAGCACCTCTTTGAGACGGATGTGTAACACTTCTTCTTCGTTTGTATTTCATATCTGTAACACTTTGAAATCCATATCATACGATATTAAACAATGAAAAATATGCAATCCATTAACTCGTATCTTATTTTATAAATACATAATGGAAATCCATTAAAGCAAATTAACAGATCAATCAAATTAAACTTTTCAAATTGATTTTTAAATAAAACACATGTCAATCTCTCCCCCAAAGGCAAATATCAAGCACACTCCCTTTTGCTCTCTGTCTCCCTCTCTCCCACCATCACTGTTGATTTACAATAACAAATCACATCGGCCAAATGTTTTCCAAGAATTTTCCACAAATTTCCTTGAACTTCATCGGCCAACAAAAAAAAAGAGACACACTGTCTGCTCTCCAGCGAGACTATGATGCTATTCACGATGCCAACATGTCTGGATACAAAACATGTCTTGCCTTGGAGATATATAGCTAAAAAATTTCATATATCCCAAAAGAAACAAAAAAGGATCCATGCATATCAAATAACAACTTACCAGGCAGTACCAGAGCAGTAATTTGATCTTTAAAATGCATAAAATTGGATGAACAAATTTATTGTGTGGAAGGCAACAATATGGAGGAGAGAGTGCTGAGCCCAATAACAAATTTGAAAATATTAATAATTTCATACCACATACTCGTGTACATACTACACGAAAGAGGAGGCGCAGAGGGTCCTTGTAATTGGAGTAAAGCAACAAATTGTTACTAACTTCAGATTTTCAAGTAGTTGAGAATTGGAATCGGACTCGAATAAATAAATAGTATTCTAAATGACAGGCCAAGGGCGAAGATAGATATACAGACGTCAGTCTGTCTGTCTGTTCAGAGGCTCAGCATGTGTTGGAATTTGTGTGTGAGTGTGCATGCGCGAGCGTTTAGTTTAGTACAAGTACTTTGCTATGCTGTTACATGTGTTTTTTTTTTGTTCTTTTCTTTCTGTAAAAGGATCCCTCAGGCTGGACAATTTCTAAATGTTTCATTTCCAGACAGTCTGGTGCCATACTGTCTGGTCTAGGCAAGACAGAGGTACAACAACAAATTTGAGGGGTTTGTGTGCCAGTGTGTCTATTTAACTGCGTGCATATGTGTGTAGTTTGTTTTAGTTGGGAAAACCACATCACCATGGGACTTCAAGTAATTATTAAAATTATAAATAATTGGGTTTAATTTTTTAAAAGAGGGCAACGTGTATAAAATTTCTATACAGCATGATTTAAAATGTTTGCAGAACAGGTTGGTTTGGCTGTCGATTTTTTATTAGATTTCAATGGAATTTTAAATTTCTCTTTTTTTTTCTTATTAAAATTACTTATTTAGCATAAATGCATGCATGCGTTATGTAGCAATAATTTTTATGGTTATCTCACACAACTGTCTTAAGTTTTCTCTGACATGGATGTCTGGATATCACATGAATATTGAATATTATTATGGTGTAGCCACATAGTTGTAGTATCCTATCACAAGAAAAATTTTCAAGTCCAATAACTTTCCAATCTTCCAAATTAGTGAATGATTTTACAAGGATCAACAAATTAATAGCAATTCTCCTGTAGTCTCCATGTAGTCTACAAATGTAAATAATATTAAAAATTACATACGTACGAAGGAACATTGTTTAAAACGTAATTTTTATACCTTCAGCCTTAAGACTAATTCACTTTGATACGACAAGTAAAACGTCGATTTATACCCTCCACCATGAACTCGATATTCACAATACCTCAAATCATACGTAAATGTTATGGTATGGAACATTTTGCAATTATGATCCAAAATACTATATTACATCCACTTTGGGAGATACTAATATATGTGCGCTACCCAAAAAAGGAGACCAATATTTATATATAACATATAATACCAAATTACAGTAAATTCAGTTTGTACTCAAAGGCTATTTCAAAAAATATACGAGTCTAGCCTACGAGGACTATACCGTAAATCATATGGGGGCTATTTCACTAAATCACTACATTTGGAAATTTGTAATTCCATGTTCTGATGGGTATTCGAACAACGAACTATAGTATGAACCCATATCTATATACTTATAATTATAAAATCAAATTAATAATATTTGGCTAATTATAAATTTTTATATTTTCTCAATTCAAATGTCACATATAAAAATTTGGAGAATTTTTTGTTTGAGTGGGGAAACATTTGTTTCTTATTTCGTACACTAATTATAACCAAGGGGAAAGAAATGCATATTGCATTATGTAGAAAAAAAATACATCCTGTTGCATATATAAAAACTAGACAATTTTTTACTTTTCATTCATCATTTTCAATTTTACTGAAAAAGTTTGAAAATTTTATAAATACAATTTGTTTCACTTACGGTTCAGAGACTGACGTTCGGAAACTGTTTGAATTTATAATTTTGCGCCAATTTTTAAATTATCCATTTGTCCATAGATAGGGTAAGTGCTCCTAATGTCGGCATGTACCAATAGTCGACACTTTCTGAACTAAAACAGTAATAACCAAGCATTAAAATAACGGAATAAAAAATAAGAAAAAGAGAGAGACAAAATGACTTAAGGGAACCCCACCCATTCTCGACTATAATTTTTCAAGATTTTCAATGGGCTGGTAAATCAATACCAATACTTGTGAAGATTTGTAACTTTGCACATATATATTTGAAGATTTAAAAGAGAA